TGCCTTCCTCACTGGCGCATGCATTGTGTGCGGGTTAACAGAAGGACCGCCCAATGAGGAAGGCACAATGGTTATGATTTTCCGCACAGCCGATTATCGCAGAATATCTTCTTAAGTGAAGCGATTTCGTTACTGTCAGCCTCAGCTATAAGACTTTCAGTACTTAGCTAGAGTGGTGTTAAAATGGTTAGCTTTGCAATGAGTCATGGACTTAGATGCCTTGAAAAATATGAAGCCAATGCTCATAAGTACCAATTTTAGCTGAATCCGGATGTGCAGAGTTGTGGAGGAATGTGCACAGATATAGATGACATGCCGGCGACGTATGCAAATCAGGTCTTTATTGTGGCAAAGGTAGGTAGTACAGGTCGTACTGGTTTCTTTTCGTTTTGAAAAATCACTCAAAACCGAGTCATTGTTCCGTCTGGTTTCTCAACAGTGAGATTTCGCTACTCCAACATGTTTCTGGATTCATGATGAATCCTTCCAAATGCCCTTTGTTCCCTTTGCATTATCGATCACGGAAGGGTATGCTTCGGTGCAAATTGCTGGAAATGCAATTTTACCAGTTGCACGGAATTGTGCAAAATAGATATGGGGTTCAGTTCCAGTGGAAAATTTGTGTGCTGATTACAAGTTTTCTCGGAATTCTTTCTAGCCTAGCTAAAGCGCGGATTCACGTGCGAAATCTAAGCGACAAAATCGAAGTTGTGATGGCCATTATGTCTTCATACATACACTTTCACACAAAGGAGCCAGGATTGTCACTATCGCTCTATGGTTATGTTTCAGGCCCTTTCGCGCACGGTAACATCATCGGTAACCGGTGCAAGTGGAACGAAAGCTGGCGAAGTTCCTATGGGAATCGTGACCGTCGTCGATCTGGAACGAGAACTTGAGGATGTAGGTTGACTTGCAGGGTTTACCTGTGAAACTGCTCTAATTGGTGGATTTTAAGGGCTCTGAAGGATGTGCTATAATGGCACATTTTGCTGCCCATAATGAACCATTGGCCACCATGGCATGGTCACCAGACGGACGTTTGCTGTTGACGACGGATACGTCAGCGTGTGTCTTCAATATCTTCTCAGTACTCACTCATCCGTTCACTCCACTACTGTCAGCCGTGCAACACCTGTATCGATTACGGCGTGGAACGACTGTTGCCAAGGTTAGTGCGGAAAGTCCAACGTTATCTGTCCAGTTTCTGAGGACCTAAACCCCGTATCCCGGAAATGGGTAGGGCGTAGCCGCATAGTTCGTTCAAAATGGCGGGGGATGCCATTCTCGTGAGTTCTTTTCATTTCACACAGTTGTTAATGTCCTGCCTTGTGCTGGTCAATGGCATAGCAACAGTTGTCCCAAAACTGCTATATCACGCAAAGCGCAGCCGCCGCCGCGTCTAGATGAAGTACGCAGCCACGCCCTTCCCATCGCCCAGATGTGGTCTTTAGCTAAGACCACCCTAGCCCACTCGTAACCATGTCCATCACAAGCGCTGAGCATCACGTCCATAGCCGCCATTAGGATACAGCATCGTTGTGTGAAACACATAGGGGGGTCGTACTTTTCCGCTGGGGAGGGGGGTCGTATTTGGTCGTTGTTGGGAAGGGGGGTCGTATGTGCCTTTGAGAGAAATTTGCCGCGTTGGGATAGAATTTTTCTCACTTGTTGATTTTTCGTGATTTTTCCTGTTTCATGTGTACTATACATCCCCCCACTCGACGGGTAATGTTTGTGTGAAAAAATGGAAAATGTGGGAAATCGGTAGGTAAAGTTGGTGAAGGGGGGGGGGGTGGTCCGAGACCCTCCCTGAGGTGGAACGGATCGTACCGGACCCTTCATTAAGAGGGGGGGGTGTGCTGACGCCACCATTTCACGCATCACGATGCTGTACCCTGGCCGCGATTCTTGACAATTTTCCCATTTTCCCCACAGTATGTTGTTTACTACTAGTAATGACCATGGTTCTGGTCCCGAGTGGGTTAGTACTGACATTTTCGGTACTGCAGTAAGACCATTTCATGAATTTTTGCTTGCAGGTGGTGTCATGTGCATTTTCGTTGGATTGTCGTTGGTTGTCGATTTGCACAAACCATGGGACTTGTCACGTTTTCGCGATTAGTCCATATGGTGGCAAACCATCACGGCGGACTCATGGCGAGCACTTTACGAACAAGTATGTACTTTTTACATTTACAGCAGTGTTATTATTGACTTGGGAATTAGCTTCCCATGTGGACAATATGTTGCCTACTGCTGGGAAAGAAAAAAAATGTATCAAGGGTATTTGAAAAGACAATCGTGATTCGTCGCGCTGGTGGGCGTCGCGTGCGACGTCGCGCCTGCAAATGGTGATAATTCGAGGCGTGAATGGGGGCAAATAGAAATATATAATAAAAATAGCAATAAATGTCTAGGATGTCGTAGTCTACATGAAATCCGGTGTTCCAGTCGACAGGCTTGCGCAAATTGCAAAAGTGACGCGACATGACCGCGCGCGGAGCGGCAGATTACGATTATCTTGACCATTCATTTAATACCGACTGGTGAAACGTTGTATTCGCGACTTCAACAGTGCTAATTGAGATTCTAAGTTTTAAAATAATTTTTCTCACTCTTCTTCTCTCCTTTTTCTTGGGAGATTTGGCTCTTGCGCAGTCTTATAACTGTAGCCTTGCTTTTGGCCTTAGGATGTCACTGAACCGCTTCGTTCCTTTTGTTAGTGGAAACTTTTGTCGCAGTAGAAGAGAATTATGTTCAGGGAATCGCGGTTCCTCCGTTCAGCAGGCTTGGCTAGTGGCGTTGAGACTCAGGCAGTGCTGCCACCTCGTACAAGGAGCCAGAGTGGTGCTACTCCGTTGTCTCGGTGAGTGTTTTTGATCTGTTGTCTTTGTTTTATGGTGTTCAAATTCTACTATTTAGGAAATATTGTCTGAATTTCTAATGTTTTCCAACGCATAAAGTTTGTTGGCCAATCAACCAACGTGTTTTACTTTTTTGTTTTCATATGCTGCTCAATTTTATTATCTTTCACTGGTAGATTATTTGCTCTAGGGAACATCCATGTATGTGGAATCGCACTATGGCTCGGTCAACAGCGAATCCTCGCATAGGGCCTTATCCACCACCGGTTATGCTGTATTCGGTGAAGAAGATCAGAGTACGTTCAATTCAGATCGTAGATGTGATGCTGCCTTTGCACTTTGATACTTTTTTGTAATTTTCATAGTCATTTCAGCCCCAAATGAGCGCCTCAAGCCTCCTTGCCCTTGGAAAAGATCTGGCACCATTGGCATTGGCAGCGGTCGGCTCTACGATCTGAAC